GATTATGTAACGAAGACTATTCATGTTCATAAATTATTAATAAATTATAATGAAATTAATTAAATTATATATAATTATAACAAATTGTTATTGTAAATTTTTATTGAATTGATATTCAACTATTTTTGTGATATTACTCCACTAGTTTGTTATAATTATAATTACTAATACAAAGATCGAACACTCAAAAATTCTTATTGTTTATTAAAATGAATCGTCGGATTCTTCTCTACATGAACGGAAATCATCACTTGAATCCTTATTAACACTAATTATTAATTCTGGAGTACACAAATTGTCAAACGCAACATCACGATCCCAATCATACAATATCTTCTCGATTCCTTAGCTTTTCGCGATTGTTACACATAGGAACTGAAACTATATTTCAAACAAAAGGTTTGTTTGAAAAATCAAATACGCGATTTAAATCCAGAAAAATTGTTTCATTTGCTAGACAATAAATATCTTTTTCTTTGAACCCGCTCACATTCACGATTAAAACTTTTTTATAAATAAAATCTATTGTTGTAAAAAATTTAATTAGAAACACATTAGGACATCACTAACCGATTAGAATTCGACCTGTCAAAAGTTTAATAAATGGTTCGCAGTGTTGCCCCATTTAGCCGATTTTTATCTAAGTCTAGCCACATTAACGAAATTGTTAGCTACAAAAAATTTGGTAGCTAAATCGTTTAGCTACCTTTACTATTTTTATACACTTTAATAACAGTTATGCTCTTTCAGTCAATTTCAAATCCAAAAAAGTGAATAGCCATTAAAAATGTAACAAATAAAGGTTGTTGTAAGTTTTGGCAATGACAGTTTTAACCTTGGATCTTTGAAGTCCCTGAAGTGGAGAAGCTTTTTCTATCATGAGCTTTATTAAAAATAAATTAAAATAAACATAGTAGTAGTATACTTTTGGCTACTTTTATCAGAATTAATTTCTTAGAATCTAGCAACTTTTTTTACCTAGGTTTAGCTATTTCCTTCATGGGCAAGGTGGCAACACTGATGGTTGGACAGAGTATAGTAATACTTCTATTAAAGATTTATACACTGTGCATACATACTCGTAGATCAGTATTTGCAAAAAGTGTGAGGGAAACTAATTATTAACACAATTACTATCAATTCTTAATTAAACGTGATTTACGTAAAATTCACATCTATTGGAAAATAGGCAGGGGTAAGCGAATATTTAACTAATGAAATTTATTTCGTTTGCCTAACTTTCATCCCTCTATTTGTATAATTTGATCATATTTAGGAAGACTTCTTTCATGACGATGGATGAACGATGAATACCCATGAAATATTTTTAACCGATTTCAAAATTGGAGGAAATTCTCAATTCGAGTGTATTTTTCTTTGTATATATATTATTCGTTTATTGCCATATTTGTAAACCGATTGCAATGATTATTTTATTGTTGATACTAGATACTACATACACAGAAGATACTACATTTCCAAGGGTGACAAATGGTTAAATGAATCCAATTAATTATGGAATTTCATCCACTTTCCGTTAACATTATGTTGTTAATGTTACATTACGTAAAAATATACATAAACAATGAGTAATAGAAAATACTTAAATACTTTTGAGGTTGGTTTTTTTGACAAAAAATTATTACAATTGTATAAATATTGCAATTTTCCAACATTCATCATTTAATCTAGACTTTTTTATTCCTAAACAACTTTACGTACATTGAAGAACTTTATTAACATTGTACATGTTAAGAGTCGACACTATCTCAGCTCGAATTAAAAATTTTCCCGTACTAATACGGTTCATTTTGTTTGGGTCGAGCGGCAAGGCAATAAAGCCAGTTTATTTCAGAATTGACTTTTTTACAAATTAAAGCCATATGAAACATATATCCTGTACCATACGTGTTCTATTTAGATCAGTTTATATAAATAAAAATCAACCTATTCAACCTATTGAATATAGCGGTTTTCTAGTAAAATTTCGATGTAAGGTTGTGTTTTTTTTTGTAGTGAAAATTTTTAGGAATCTTGTTTTCACACCACATAGCAATCTGTGTACATTCATTGCTATGTGGTGTGAAAACACCGAAAATTTTCATTTTCAAATTCAATTGTGTACATCCTCAATTTTACTATATATTTTTTGCCAAGTTATTGATTTAAGACTTTCACTGTTATGCGGAATGAGCCAAAACCATTTGAGATTGTATCGACTCTATTAAATTCTTTCTTTCTTTAAGAACCAATTGACTTCACTTAAAAGCATGAGTTGACGTGTCGCAATGAATGTGGTTATTGTGATTAACACGCGACTCTGAAATAACTCCATAAAAAACAAATTCACCCGAATGGAATAGTTTCAACACGTGTTCTGAGCATGTGAATCCGAGTAAAACTCTAATAAAATTACAAAATTTTAATAAAAAAAATAGCTCAAAAGTTAGCTTATCCGCTTCTGTTGTATTTGTTACATTTATTTGCCAAATTTTATTGAAACCGGTTAACGGAAATTGTCTGAAATCCATTGATCTATCAACAAATAGACGTCGGGTCCGCGTTAAAAAGTGTCCGCAGCTGAAGAGCGTTAAAATCACACACAGAGCGTTAATCGCGCGCCAGTCTTCATTTGGTCGACTGACAGCGCGCTTGTCAATCATGCATATAACTTGTAAAAATTACTCAAATAAAGTGAAAAAACAGGACGTATCATATTTTCAATAAGCAAATTATATATTGTGTTATCACCATAGATATAGAAAAAAAATGGGAGATATGTAATAACGTTATGTAATATCGGGTACCGATGTCGCCACTTTTTAGCTTGTGTGCAATTCAAACTTTACGCTCTATTATCTACTACCATAACTTAAAGATTTTGATTGGGTAGGGCTTAAAACGTGAAAACGACGTAACAATTTTAAAATTTAACAAAATGAAACTTACAATCACTTGAGTAAGAGTTATATTACAATATTTCAGTATTTTTTCATCCTGATTCAGCCATTCACCATCAGGTGGCGTTTTAGTAAAAATGCTACTAGTATATAATAGCTAACTATTACACTTTATATGGCGCTAAAACTCATTTTGCATTACACTAAGAACTCACTGAGCGGTTTCCACTCGCGTCTGCCGCGGGACCGCGGCATCTGTAGAATGTAATAGTTAAGTATTAAATTAGTAGCACATTTCACAGCGCGTTTTACGCCTGTAGTGGTGACGGTTGCTCGCGGTTGCCGCGGCGGGGTGATAGTAGAACCACGCAGGACTCGATCACCTGCGCACTTGGTGGCCGTCGTCGCCCGCGCATTTTGGCAGTCGGTTCAGGCGCAATGTGGTGCAGGCGCACGCGGGAAGAGTTCTCTATTAACCACGGGACTTGCTATTAAATCCCACTAACTTCGCGGTCCGTTCCGCAATCGCAACGGTTTCGTGCCCGCAACCGCGGCGGCTACGTGCCCGCACAAATTTGCTGGGTCGTGAGTATTGAAATAAAACCCTGTCTAGCAGCACCAGCGGGCGCGGATGGAAACCGCTCCGTGAATTGTTAACCTTATTAACCTTAAACTGACGCTACTCAACGAGGGATGTGGTCCTATCTAATCGACAGTTTGAAACCATGTGACTGTTTTTAATGTTAAAAAAATATTAAATTTTTCGTACTATACCTACACTGGTACAGGTGTATTATTAAATTAATATATTAATATAAATTATTATTATTTTCTTAATGGCGGCCACTAGGCTTGGGCCAGTGTCAGTTTTATAAGAATAATATAAAAAATATGGCGATCGTCGCCAGTGTCAGTTTTCCATTATACGTTACCACGGGTTGGTGAAGCTGTCACTGTCAAGAGTAAACTCGAACCATCAACGAATTTAATAAATTAAATTATGTTGTTTTTTATGAAGGATTTGTGTAATTTTCTATAATTGTTTCGATTTATTTTGCATGCACATGTAAAATAAAGCCGATTTTATTTATTTTTATTTTTTTTTCGAGCTTCAATCCAACCTTCTTTTATTTTGAATTCATTGGAAAGACTTAAAAATTGAAAATACTCTACGTTTAATCTATGAATACAATGGAATTTAAATATCTAAATTATCTAAAACAATAATACACATACATTTTTCTTCAACCAACAGCAACATACAAAATGACATGAAATTGAAACGGTTGTCCGAAATTTAAGTTGTGTTAAAGTTACTCGAAATAAAAGGTTAGGTAATAATAATAATAATAATAAAATAAAAGAAATCAATTTAACGTGAATGCTTTTCGCTTCGTTATTTTAGGGACTTTAATTACATAGATCATAGTAAGAAATTCAAACATTAAAAATTTATTGTCGATAAACATCAGTCATCGTAAATGAACACCACTATATTGAGTCTAGAAATTTCTATGGAGACAAAAAGAAAACATTGAATAATAATAGAAATAGTAACTAAAAATGCAAATAGCCGGTGTAATGTTATCTAGTGAGATATAGATTTTGTTTTCACTTCAATTTTTAGAAGGTGTATTGCTACAACTTGGCAGTTTCACGTTGGACGAGAGATCTTATATGTACAACGTTCACCATATCACTGTAGCGATGTTTGCAGGCGTGTCACCTCGATATGATCATTTTGATCATATCGAGGCGAAACGAACCACGCCGCCATACCAAATCGCCCTTTTTTTTGTATATCTATGGTTATCATAGTTATCCTCTAAAAGTGTTGAGTGAAATCCAATAAACCAGATTTATCCCCTAATTTGCCACGCTTAGAGGTGAAATATTTCCTTCAAATTTGAATGGAACCATTACTAAGGTACCCCTTTTCAAAAACGGATCATCGAAATCGGTTCAATTCTATTCACCTTAGAAAGAAAGAAAAAATATTTATTTGTTTGCTCTTGTGATATAAAAGTATATTTAATATAATAATTACTATAGTGCTACTGTATAACAAATACAAACAGTTAAATGTAGCTCTGAACATACCTTTATGTACTTTAGGAACAAAATCGAAAGTCCTGTCTTTGGAGCGGAGATTGATACCACTGCCGTCGACCCACACAAAAGCGGCCAGAACTGCTGCGCAAGGGACCTCTAAGTCCTCATATTTGCGCATAGAAGCCTTGTGCAGTGCTATTGGTACTGTATTCATACCGGGTAAACCTGTAAAAAAACACACTCAATACACATTGATAGCGACACAACAGCGCGATCGTTATTAAAACGAACACAGTATAAAGGCTCTTACACATAAACACGATATGACGGCGCGATGTGCTACGACGCGACGTCGTACTGTGTTTATGTGTTAGAGTGACGTACATGTATACGAGTATAGTTGGATTTTAAGAGGTGCTAAATTTCATTATATAGAAATAGTGTTATCTTAAAGGATCAGCTTCACTGACTAACTAATTAGGCCATTAAAGTAAATTATATCTTTTTAATATAATATCATTGGTTTTAATATTTTTTTTAATAAGAATGTAATAACAGAAAATGATTAGATTAGACAGAAGTATTATTTATTTATTGAATACTGAACGAACATGACGACGAAAAATGTCGTTTAAACCTAATACATAGAAATTCGTAAATCTGCTAATTCGTTGGTTATGAGCGATGGCCCCGGCATGGCAACATACACTGGTTCCCATCCAGTCAGATCGATGATTTTTTTCTTTAAGTTGTCTTTGTATCAATAATAATGACAAAGTATGTAGAGACTTAAAGCGCGTTTGCGCACAGCATCCGTTTCGTATTAGTTCCGAATCCGAGACCATTCGAATCCAGATCTCGGATCCACTTCGGATGTCACTTGTGCGCTAAGTCCGATTCAAATCCGAAACAATACGAATATCGCTTGTATACCTAGAGATAAAATGATCCCCGCGACATTTCGGACCGTCATTTCTCGGATTCGGAACTCTTGGTCTACTCTCAATCTCCGTCCGACATCCGTCCGAAACAATTACTGTCAAATAAGTAATATTCGACAAAATTAAAAGACAAGTATCAAATATGAAGCTTCATTCGCTTCACGCGTCTTTTCATTTGGTCAAGTATTGCTCATTTGGCAGTAATTGTTTCGGACGGATGTCGGACGGAGATCGAGAGTAGACCCCCTGATACGAATCGGACGTAGTGCGCAAAAAGCTCTAAATGTAAATCAAATATTGTTTAGCAGATTAATAATCAAAAACGTTTCTTTTTGAGTGAGTTCCATGAGTACTGAACCGGACATATCACTGTACAATTGAAAGGGTTGTACTGCTAACAAGCCGTGACCAGGTTCACGGCAGTAAAACAGAAAACTTCAGGTTCACAAATTTATTTAAAGTCGGTTAAAGAGAAGAAAGTAAACAAGAAGTAAGGACTAAAAGGGCCGAGATATAGTGATTATGAGTATTCATAGGTACATGATAAGGCTGTAGTGGCTATAAACTTTAAAATTGGCACATGATTAAGATTACTAGTAATTATAAAATTAGTAAAGGAATCAAACTTAGACGCAATTGAATGTTAACCAGATCCGTACGCTGACGCGATCGAGCAGGGAGTGACGGTGAAACGAAACAAAATCAGAATGCGAGGCAAAAGAGCTATGGAATAATTCAAAATTTAAATTTAAATACGAGTGGCCAGGAACCGGAGAAAGGCGATAAAAGGGTGGACGACTTTAGTTTCAATGTTTGAGAGGCACTAGACAAGCAAGTAGGTGTTAAGTTTTCTAATAATAAAATCGGCACCTAACATAATTTACGAACTAGTTTTTTTAAGTTTTTATTTAATCGTACCCTTGTTGGTGAAATAAGATCACATCTGCAAAAAAAACTACTTTTCTGGAGAAAACGCACTTTAAGCCGATACTTTCAGAACTGAAATATTATGCAATTGAGAAAACACGATCAGAAAGTTTAAAAAATTGCTGAATGGATCCTATAAATTTATATTCTCGTTTATAAGTGGATAACTAATCATTATGTATAAGTAAAAAATAAGCTCATAATTCGCAATAAGATATCCTTTCTCTATTCTATCACTTTTGAGTTACGACAGAATTTAGTTTAGTGTGCGAGAGGCTTAGAAAATCCATGGACGATATTAGTCGATAACATTTTTAGGCTTAGATAGGAGAGTTATAAGAAGATCCTGGCCCACCAAAGTACAAAAACTATACCCACAGCGTGCAGTAATGACATATGGCTAAATTTATAAAAAAATATGTATACAATGGTGTATGTTGCTTTATTATGGATATTACAATTATGAAATAAAAAAAATGTATTTTTACATAAAAATGTTTGTTAGTGCAAAATAGTTGTGCGTTTTACATTTACGGGAAATAATATGAACTAGCCGTATTAACGCGAATATAATATAGAAGTAGAAATATTAAGAAAACAGAAAATACAGTTTGATAGTGAAGACAGATAGGAGAGAATATTTTTTACTCGTGACTCTAAAGTCATCGCTTTGAACAAGGAGTATGTTTACGCTCCAGTATTTATTATTGATCCCTCACGAAAATCGATAGAACGATTTCGGTCTAAAGGGTGAAACACACTGACAGCGGCTGCTGGTCGGGATCGTGTTGCTCCCGACGATGACGGATGTAATTTCGTATATTTTTAAGGACGACAACACACCACCCGCGAGCGCCAAACGGGCGCAGGTCGAGTCCGTAAGCACTCGTGGTATGCTGTCGTCCATACAAATACACGGAACTACACCCGCCGTGTCTACGACCCGACACGCACCGGACTCGCTTCTCTGTGTGTTTCACGCTTTATTGCTACTACAGCTATGACTACAACGCACTTCCGATGATGGTTGGGATGCATTTCGGATGGCACACAATTATCATGATATTTATTTTGACTGAAAGCGTGACAATAACCTAATTAGGCTTTCTCCCAATTAAACTTAACTTTTTTTCCTAAGATAAAAAGTGGTTTATAACTGTACAATTTAAAACTAATGTGGTTTTTACATACAAATATCCATTAACCGCGTCAGATTATGGGTCATGATCTTTCACATAATGTCGGATTTTATTGCCCATGAATGTAAAACATAAACATTATATTGATAGGTACAGCAAGTAGAATAGGAATATAAAACGAATACGTGAAGAAATATAAAAAAATAATGGTTCCATACTATGAATCATAATTAGGTATCCAAAATGTAAACAAAGGGAATAACCGAGCAAAAAAAAAATACATTGTAAATGGTAGTTTTCTATTTTTAATAAACCTGTAGTTAGAAAGAACTATTTTCAAGCTAAGTAATCAGATAAAACTTAGAACAATTCACATTTTGCAATACCTATATATTTTTACTTAATTTCGTTGTATACAATGATTACAATAAAAGATTATGTTTAAGCTCGTAAATAATTTTGTAATACTGGTAACACATCATCAAAAACACATTTTTCCGCCGCCATTTTGTAGATGTCATCCGTGTATCGTTTCTCGACTCGAATGTTTTCATGCCTCCGTAGTGCGCTTGTTAAATTATTGTGTTGTTGTTAAAATTTTTATTATTTTGTAATAGATAATTTAAATTGTAGAAAATGAGAACCTCCTTTTCTTTTCCAATTCCGTTAAAAATAAATGGTTTAGTACACCTGCATTCATACTTTGACAATGACATTTCTTTGTTTAAATTTTGGACTTCTAATTATGATTCATACTCTATATAAAATATAAATAACTGAAAATAAAATCAAAGTTGAAAACAATATTCATTCATTTTTTTAAATAACGGTAATTCCTTCGCTAAATCAAGAATACACTTATTCTGTACCATTATTCTTCAACAGAAATAGGTCCTATTTTATTTACCAATACTAAGATGATAAGTTAATATAATAGTGCAGAAAAATTCTCCAAGTTGTGTTTTAACATAAAGAGATACAATACCTAAACATTTTTAGGAGTTAGAGATGAATTAGAGGATTATATAAGTTGTCGCTGATATATAGATAAAGTTGCCCATTGAAGTTGTAACACAAATCATCCGTATTATACCTTGCGTACTAAGTAATAAGAATCCATATAGTACAAAGTATAGTATATTACTGCAGAGTGGGAAGTAAGGGATTGCTGGACGAGTGAGTTACAAGGCCGAGTCACGAGTCAAGCAATTCCCGTTCCGGCCAATGCGTGTATAGTGCTTTTCTCAAATAGTGCGAGGAAATAATAAAAGACTAAAGAGAGAAAGATGTATAATAAAAAAAGGAAAAAATCCAAATTAATTAATATTAAAAGTATAATATCGTTTAGACATATTGTGATTTCCTATGTTCTTTGTGGTGATATTGGTGATCTCTATACTCCTGCATGCACCGTTTATCCCTAAAATTAGAGCAACCTGAAACAAAAAAGGTTTGTTATACTTATTTACTGTATCGAAACTTCTTTCAACGTTATACATTACGACTTAAAGACGAACAAACTTTATAAGAAATTGTCACTTGGAGTCTCGTTTAAAAATTTCAATATGTTCTCTGCAGTAAATATTTTTGAATTTTTAGTTTGGTGGTTAGGCACTTCAAGTTACTGTATTCCAATAATGACGCTGTGTTTAAGTTGGTTTGTACATTTGGGTATGAAATACGTGGCCCATAATGTTGATGGCTTTTGAGTTTTAGCAAGTTCGCTAAAATAAGCTACAAACACAATGCATGAAAACGAATTAGTATTTTTTTCGCTTCTCATTTTTTTCAGTTTCATAAGTTTTCATATATCTTACTTTGCTCATAGCCGGCAACAGTTTTCCATCGCTAATATAGCCTCGTTTGAAGTTAGGAGGAGTACAATTCATTACTGTATGTTCGTTACCGCTCGTCTCACTCATTTTCATGACAAAAATACAAAAAAGATGAAAAAACAGAAAAGAATACCAAAGCACTTTATTTTACCGCCTTTTTCTTTTTTTGAAGTAAGCGGTATACGTAGGCATTTTTAATACTCGCAATTACTAACACTGGGCAGTTGGCTGTATGAGCTTTTCCTTTGCCTGTTTACATAGTTCATTTTTTTATTTTTTTATTAAGGGTTTGGCAAAGCCATCTGCCTAAACATGAAGTTTAATTATGTTTCTGTAAATATGGCCGCCAGAAAGAGAATAGGCAATTTGAGGCGGCGTGCTTGGATTGTCTCGGGATTCCTTAAAACGGGCCCATACGGGTATTTTAGTTCGAGATTCGTATATCCTATTCCACTTTAGACTAGATTTCACAAAGTAATTGAAAGTCAAAATAAAAACGACACTTTTCCCTCCAAAAGGTCCAGAGCGAATCCGTTTACATAGTTCTAGATTTAAAAGTTTAGAAAAGTGGACAGTAATGGATTTTCATACTTACTTTGCAGGCCTTGGCCGGGAAGAAGTCTCACGGTCCATAAATTACTAATTTTCCGTATTCGTTTTTTGAAACTAATGTGAATATTTCCGATCATGTTCGAGAAAATTATATTTGCTTAACTTAATTTTACATATTATACAGGGCTCACGGCTACAGAACATGAAAAGAACTTCTTACTTACTTAGTAAATAAATAAAAGGTCAATGTCTCGTGTCACGGTGCCTTAGGAGGTCAACCTAAAAAAGTGTGTTACTTTAGAGTCTGAAAGGGTTGTAAACCCTAATGAGCCGTGACCCGGTTCACGGCAATAAAATAATAAAACTTCAGGTCCACATAATTTTTTTGTAAAGTTGATGGTAAAAAAAAAGAAAAGGCCCAAAAAGGCCGAATTTGATGGTGTTACAGATTGGTATTAAAATTGGCACATGATTAGTAGCAGTTATAGTAGATTGGTATCAAAATTGGTAAAAGAATCAAAATTAGACGCAAATGAAATTAGAGTTGTATTGTTCGCTGAAGCGATCGAGCAGGGAGTGGCGATGGAACGAAACAAAATCAGAATGGCGAGGCGAAGGCATTAAAAAACGATTCAAAATTAAAAACAGGTGGCCAGGAACCGGCGAAAAGGCGATAAAAAAGTGGGATGACGATGTAAGGAGGTCACATCGTCACAAGTCTATTCCACCTGAAATGGTTTTGGTTGATTCCGTATAACAGTGAAAGTGTTGAATCAATAACTTTGGAGAAAATATATAGTAAAATTGAGGATACACACTTAGTACTACACAGCGTAAAATTACGATTCCTAAAAATGTTCACGATAGAAAAAACAAACTTATCTCGAAATTTTACAAGAAAACCGCTGCAGTCAATAGGTTCTTTACATATAAACCAATAATTGTTTTTACTATCAACACACGCATAGTATACTATATACATTTTTCAAATGGCTTTAATTTCGTTTGTACAAAAATAAATTCTGAAAGAAAGTCAGTATCCATGTCGTTCGACTCAAGCAAAATGAACCGTGTTCGTACGAGAAAAAATTTAATTTAATTGCCTCCGTGGCCGAATGGTTACCATGCCGGACTGCCACGCAGATGTCCCAGGTTCGATTCCCGGGTTTGGAGAAATATTTGTATGGCCTATATGTATTTATCTCATGAGTTTGGGTGTAATTGGTGTTGGTTGTAAGAGGTGCTAGTGAAACTTGTCAACTTTTGTAACCGCGTGACGGGCGGGGCAAAAGTCATCGAATGCAATAATACTTACTTTTTAAATTTTCTAAAATAATAATGTCTCCATGAAGCCAAACATACTTTCCCACCATATACCGTGTCACTGTATACATATAATTAAAATATTACATATATATCTAGTTACATTTTGTGTTTGTTGTTAGCGACCAAATAGCACTGTAGTCACAGCCTTTTCTCGGCGGTGACATTAGCTGAGTGGATTTCACATACGCCAGAGCCACATACATGACGTTTAGTCTAATTGTGTTGAATATTTAATGTTTGCTTTGTTGTTATTACCTATTATCATGATTTTATTCTTTGTAATTTTCGTTTTGTTATTTTATTCAAATTTTTGGTTTTAATTTTAGCTTTATTTTTTTATTACCTTTATTAAGCTCAATTTATATTGCGGCGGATATTGTACATAGCATAATGAACTTTATGGTCAATGGAGTAACGTACAATTTTCGAATTCCGCGGAAGATTTTGTAATGAAGTTGCATGCATGCGTTCCGCCGCAATATATATTGATCCTTACTGTGTGTTTTTGTGTTATGGCGTAGTAATAAATTAGTCTATTCTATAATCTAGTTATTTGTTGCCTTAAATTTTTTAGTAAATTCTTATTTTTAATAAATTCATGTTAAATACATCTTCGTAAATTAGGTATTTTAATGTCACATAATTATGAAAAGAATTTTATTACCTTCTGGATGGTGATACGTCGCCATACATACAATAAGAAGAATTTTCGAAATTTTAGTCACCAAAGAGAAACTGAAAGTAAAAAAGATAATTAATTGATTACCATAAACCTCGTTAACCTTCATTACCATTTTAAAGAATAGTTAGTGCTTATTTAATGTGCTAGAAGGAATACAAGTAAGGATGCTTACACATTTGGTCGATTTTTTGACTATCGACGCGTGTGATCAAACAGAACGAGTAAATTTGTAATCAGCATACAATCGACATCGTATTTTTGCCGATCAACTTTTTCTGTACAGACATAATCGAGTAAAAGTATAAGAATAAGATCGATATCGAATTTTTCGATTGATACGTGTCAATCATCAAAAAATCGTGTAAATCTGTAGACATCTTAAATATTCCACTACACAACAGTGGCGAATAATAATTTAATACATTGCCAGTCGGCTTGCTTAGGAAATTGTTGTTAATCTTAATCCAAGATAACTCTAATCGACTGTCACATAGCATTTACAAGTTGACTTGTTTCGAACAAAAAGCCTAATCATTTTCTACGGCAATGTCACCCTGCCCGCGGCGGCCTCCTACGCCCACATGAAATACTGCATATCTTTTTGCACATATAATGAAAAATGTTTAAATATCGTACGATCATAATACGTATATTTACTTTGAAATAGGAGGTTTTATCGCTTTTTTTATGAACGCAGTATTTCGAGATAATACTTTAATTTCATAGATTATTCAATAAAGTTCTTTGTGATTTGTTTTATTTATGTAATAATGTAAATAAGTGTACTTTTCAAGTTAGTAGTGGATATAGGAAAAATGTTTGGCCATTTAATACGTCACGTATAATAGTGAAAGGCGTGTGGGAAGCGAAGGCATAGCGGGATTATGCGAATGTGTGCGTCCGTCCGTAACAAGACACGCTGCTACATTTATAAGGAATTATCAGTCTTATGCTATGGCCCCAGACTTGCCCAGCTCCGATGTGTTCCGTATTCTGAAGTCCCTTTGAACCCAATTTACTCGCTTTTTCAAGAACCCCTTGTCACAGCTCAAAGAAACATTTCAGAATTCAGATTCTAAACCCTATCATTACAAAATTGAAACTAGATATTACCTTTTTATTTAGGTCGAATCTGTGTTTAGACTGGAATTAATTTACATACTTTTCTCAGCGCGCTTTTTACTAAACCTTACAATACCTTTAATAAACCATAGATTTGTATTACTCACAGTCTTGATTATTGCGTAATGAATAATCACTTGAATTTAATTTATTAAGATCCAAACATTATTATTAGAAACTCGAGATTTGCACAATTTGTGTGATTGTCCTGACGTTTTGACATTAGTAATGGCAGCCGTTTAAATTTCGAAAGTGGGTTTTTAAAATCTCTATAAATCTAGAAATAGGTCTCAAGCATTTTTTCTCTAAAACGTATTCTACTTGTTACTTGGGGTACAAGTCGACCACTCTTCTATATAAAAATTCTAAATTTAATAGGACAGTTTATGTTCACTCACATTGTGCTCTCACAACCCTCATCTAGCAAAGTCCGCAAAAGGCAAGAGCACCGCAAATAAGCAAAAGAAGAAGTTATTTGAGGACTTAGGACATCATAGTGTTCTTTACTAAGATTCAAAGTGAAGGTAAAGTTCTATTTTCAATTATTACTGTACAGATAGATATAGCTTGTCGATGCTTGAAATGCATGCATGCCCCGTGGATCCATGCTCAGATTTTCCGACAATGATAGATATTGACCAATTTCTTGAATACGAGTTGAGAAACCCATCTATGCAACTGCTAACAGTTTATTTTGCAATTTTCTGCATAGTAACCAATGATCTTAATTACTTAAAAAAAGTATAGTAGCTGAAAACATCATACATACAGTCATTTATTAATATGAATAATCGTGGAGTGTCAAGTCAATAGAAAACACCTTATAGGATGGAAAATTCCATAGCCTAAAGTGCATGGTATGTATGTATTAATCTTTTTTTTTTCATCCTCTAAGATGAATCTTAGACTCGTAGAGGAAGAATAAAAAAAAAGAATAGAGAAGCTTCTCGCGTATACTGAAAAGGGATACCAACAGAGTACCTATAAATTCTGGGTTGTCTACTTTTAAAATTTTACCCCGTTAAAGAAATTGAAATGAAAATGAAGCCGTGGTAGCCTAATGGTTTGACCTACTGTCTCTCAAGCAGAGGGTCGTGATTCGAATCCAGACTCGCATCCTCTGAGTATCTCGGAATTTGGGCGAAATTTAATTTGAAATTTATCATGACCTTTTCGGTGAAGGAAAACATCGTGATGAAACGTTGAAGAAGGTTCAAAGTCCTCGGAAAACTGTGCAGTCCCCCAACCCTCATTGGGCCAGTGTGGTGGACTGTCGCCTAAGCACTCGCCTGAGAGGAGACCCATGCTCAGCAGTGGGACGTATAAATGGGTTCATGATAACGATGAAATCTGCCAAGTCTAAGGAGGGAGAATCCGCCTGACCACATTTAGCTTGCTTGAGTTTTAGTAACCAAATAAAACAATTATGACAAATCATTACTTTTTGATTGGCGTCTGTGCAAAACTTCATATTCGTGTAATAGCCAGGGTTTGAATGGCGGCACCATTATATCCGGGTTTATGGCTTCATTTTTGGTCGAAAAACTATTGCAGCAAATTTTTGTTAATTCTTATGTTCCGTTTTGTTTTATAACTTGGTAAAGAATCAAAAATTTGATTTTAGTAAGTGGTAAACGGTTCAAAAATAAGACGAGTAAATAGATGTGTTTGCTACCTCAGTCGGGCGGCGAGTGACGTGGTACGAAACAAAATGAGAAAGCGAAAGAAGATGGAACAATTCAAATTTTTAAATTTAAATATGAGTAGAAGAAAAAACGATGCGTTACGAATGGAGAGAAGCGATACAAAAAGCTACACTTAAAACCAACTGACAATTATTTATTTGAAATCAGTTAATCCACATGTAAGGTAGCAAAATAACAAGCGTTGAAAAAAGAATACTGAAAAAGTATTGAAAAGTAAAAAAATACAATATTTCAAATGACCCATAAATTGGGGAAAAGATAGTCGCAAAAGCACGGTATCCCTAAAATCAGCTTAAGCCTGTCTAATTTAATTTATTTATTTGATCTCTCTTTCTCGCGTATCATAACCTCTGCTAGTAGAAGCGAGATGGACATATTTGACAAAAGTAAGATATTCTCCTTATTTTAGGAGGTTTATACGATGCAAACAAAAATCCTTCAATCAAAAAAAACACTTCAAATATCTTCATCTAAAATACATCCAGCCTTGTAAGAATATTTTACTAGTAATTCATACAAGAAAATTCATTGATTGTAATGAAAAATTAAAACTTACGTGTGAAAGGTTGTGTTGGGAATTTTTCGTTCCGTACCTCTTTTACAGTCTAATACATAACAATGCACCATTATTGTGAGCTGCAATAATTGTCAATTACTACAAAGGAACGGTTAGTAGCTTTGTAAAGCACAAACACATAAAATCGATGCACATCAAACACTCGGAAGGATTTGCTGGACTCAACGAGCGTTGAGTCATACAACCAAAACCGCATACGTAGAAAGGGACAAAAAATAATATTGTTTTCTCGTTTACTCTGATATGTCTGTGCATAAATCTATCTCGCTTATACGGTTTTTATTATTTATAGAGCCCCTCTACCCAATTCTCCCTCTACGCTTAGACTATTGACTAAGCTTTTTTTGTTATGGCTTAACTATATACTTTTTTACCACACAATTATAAAAAAGTCTAAGGCCCGATTACGTACTAACTAGTTATGTATGTTTCTTTTAAATATGATTTTATTTCCAGATTTAGCTATGCCTGTATTATAATTTTAAAAACCCATTGATTTATTTTATTCAAACTTGTAATTAAGACAGTTGATTGTTTTTTCCGACTTCAAACCACAGAAAAGAATGTGATAATAACTTAGAGAATGGAAAAAATAAACCAATAGTCTAAAGATAATAAGTTGAGAGCTTAGAGGATGGAAAAAAATAAAAGAATAGTCTAAGGTTGAGAGGATGGAAAAAAAATAAGATAATGGGGTCTTATAATGACAATAGGTATGACAACACGCTATGCTGATATGATGATGGACATTTAATAAATTTTAAGTTAGAGAAGTTTCGTTAAGCTCGTAAATTCGACGGTTACCTAATGAGATAATAAAGAAAATAATTTAATAATTCTTAAATGGCTGAAGCAAAACTGTGTGTAATTGCTGTGTTTTTCATTAATTTTCATCCCGCTCTTGTGAACGGAATCGCATGTAAGTTTGTGAAAGATCAATCACCAATTGACTTATATGTACATAGTGATTCACTTGAAAATGGGCATGATCTCTCCATAGTTGAAAACACTCCAATTCTACGCAAGAAATATCCTTTTGATAAGAAATGGTATGTAGGCAGAATTAGTCGCAAACAGTACGAAATCATAAATATGTTATGGAAAAAGCCAAGTACTCCAGTTGTTAATATAGAAACTGGATATACTAAATCTATGATAGAAACCATTACTGCCTCTATGACACCAATGAGAAAAAAAAATAGCGTAAGAACTGATTCGAGAAAATATATATTTTCAGTGCCCACGCAATCATTTCCTTTTGCACGTTATGTACGCACGTCGTCGACGCCCAGTTACATAGAGTTCTACTATTTGGATGAAATAGAAACAAATGACCATCACACAACATCTGCAACAATGAAGAAGAACAAAGACATGGGAGAGCTGGAACCGCATTATTTTAATGAAGGCCACAGAAGATATGTTATTAGATCACCACTTCTTGCGTTGAACATCAATGAGCCGCCTACATATACCAAATCGTTTTTAAGTGATTTTCAGCCCGATGGCGTTTTTCGAGCACGACAAACTTCTTTATCTGATGAAAATGGGTATCTACAAACTAATATCCATACGAAACATTTAGAATCTTTTAGGACAAAAACGTACGACATAAACAGAGTAAGTCCGATCGCAATCAGCTTGACTATGACTAAACCGACCAGACCGACTACCATCAGGTCATTTACAACGAAGTCGACTACAAATATTCCTACTACAAAATCTACCGTAGTTACCATGACTGTCACAAAAGGTGACAATAATGAAAGAGAAACAAATATAATGTCTATAAAGCGAACATTGTTTAGTGCGACTAAAAGACCACCAGAAAAGAGCAAACGTTTGACAGAGACAACAATATATGATAAAATAAAGTTTTTCGAAATGTACGATAGTCACACACGTCTATGGTTGAACATCAATGATTCAGACAAAGATATTAATAATAGCCAAAGAATAAAATTGGAAAATATTTATGACAGTATGGGTGAAAAACTTCATATGAACATGAAATTCGCAAAAAAAGAAGTTGCGAAATATCAAAATGAATCTGAGAAGAATTTTTCTAAGACTTTAGAAGACGTTGTATCAAAAAAAAGAAATGAAACAAATTCAGAAGTTTCTGAAAAAAACACAAGTACCATTATTGTAAGCAATAAAGCGACATTTGCTGAATATCCTTTTATTGCTGTATATTTTTACGAGCGACTTCAGGTGAGATTTAGTTGTTTTCAAATATAAGTTTTTTTGTGCGTCTTACTTATCAACGCGTGTCCCGCCTTAATATAATATAACACACTCGACATATCCCCGCACTAGAGAAACCCTGTGTCGCGATTGCCATGGACGCAAATAACCACAAATTACACCCAAACTCACGAGAGAAATAAATAACAAATATTTCTTCCGGCCCGGAAATCGAATCTAGAACCTCTGGTTGGCAGTCCGGCATGGTAACGACAGGCCAGTGGCAGATGACAGCTTTATGACAAATACGAGAGGCGGCTGAACAGTAATCTAAGCATTGACTTACAATTAAATCTAAGGCTACTTTTTTTTAGTATGAGATGTACATAGAAATAGGAAATGCGCTTTGTTAGAAAGGGATATTACTGTGTTAAAAAATGGTAAAAAATCTTGCTCATTTGTAAACATTTTACTTTTTGTCTTCCGCCCGTTTCTCCATGCAAAGCAAAACGTAATAAATAAAAGAAAAGAGTATTACTAATTTTGAAAAAAGAATAAATAACGAATGCGTCACAATACAGGCCAGTGCCTGTATTATTTTTAATTGAAAATAGTTAAAAAGAGATTATTTTAAGCCGCCCCTCGTATATCTGTAAACTCTCTTTCGCTATCGTCGATAACATCTCGATTACCATTGTCGGTCACTTTTTTGCGCCAATTTTTGTTTTTATTATTTTTGTTGTAAGCACTAGGCAGTGGATACCACGCACTGTATAGTATAAATCAATCTTTACAGTGAAATATTTGGCATTTTGTAAAATACCGGGAAAATAAAAATTAATCAAACCGCGGCAAGAAACCTGTAAGTAGTGACAATTACGCATACGTTATTTTACGTCAATACTGGTTATTGAAAAAACGAAATTAATACGGTTTATAAAGACTATTGTCGAATAATTATTACCTATTAACTTTAAATAACGTGTTATGCTCTTGACTTGGTTGTTTGCACTTGTAAAAATATATCAGAAAAGCTTGGCAAATGGCTCCCTACAGTTTGTTTTCTCTGTAGGTCTCTATATAAAAACAAGCGCTACCATGTCACAAATTATGACGTATTCTACTGCCGAAACTTTCAAGCTCGATAATTTTCAAAAAGTTAGGTACTGTAAGGCCCTTCAAGAAGAAATAAAGAAATTTCTTCTTTTTATCGTATCGATGACATATAATGCTTGCCATCGTGCAGATCGACTTTGCCAATCGGCATTAGCTACTCTACAATTGTTGTTTAGGGACAATTCCCTGTAAATTCAGTTCAATACTTACAAGGTAAGGAATGGTATATCGCGCGGAGCCTCCTTTTATGCACCCAGAAGATACGTTATTTCGCACACTTGAGAAGATGAGATAGCATCAGACTCCTCTCATTAGCAAACCTGTTGAAGGTTTACGATAAAAAGTCAATACTATAGAAATTGCATGTCTTATGACTGATGACGATTTTCATGAATTTAAGGTGCATTGCGACGCTGCAATCTTCAGTACTCATTGGCTGTTAGCGTCGGGAGCTTGTCTGTCTCGACATCGCGATGATCCCCCCGGAGAAGAACGTTCTGCATTCGTCACTTACTGCAGTGACAATTGGTGGGAATCAGATCACATTAATTACGTCAAGCAAACGATAATACATCCGAAATACAACCACAAAGATTTTTCTAAAAGACATCTTTACAATATTGGTACGTAAGTGTACATTCCTGATGTAAACAGTACATTTTTCTAGCAAGATTCATTAAAATGTAAATTTTTTGTTTGGTATGCAAAAGTATAACCAAAATTCAAATTAACGACTCTATTAGAATAATAAATTGAAATGATCGTTAAATGTGCCTATTTGACCATCTCACTTAGTGGAAAGTGATGATGAGGAAGACGATAAAGCACGCACATGTAAATAATGCGTATTCACTCTCGCCTTGTAAAGGCTCAAGTTATAGCGTTCAGGGAATAAGTCTGTAGGCAAGGAATTCCATTTCATAGCCGCTGGCCTTATAAATGTGGAAGCGTAACGTTTCGTGCAAATCCTTGAAATATTTATTGTGGAATTACGTCAAGTCCCCCGATAATGGAAGATGGAATTAAATCGTGCAAATATTGTTCCATAAGGAAGCTTAGTGTCTAAAAAATGCAAATCTGTAACAATATTTGTTATTTACCTACTGAGTATTTCAAGTAATGAAAATTATGAAAAAAAAGTGAAAAAAATAATTAAAAAATCGGTTCGAATATAGATTTTAACCGACTTCAAAAAAAGAGGATCGAGAAAAAGAGAGAGGAGGAGGAGGTTACGCGATTACTCCGACATTTGTGAACCGATTTCGATGGTTAATTTTTGTGGTGGTTTCAGTCAAATTTGAGAAAAATGTTCCTCTTCCAAGGATGGCAATTTAGGGGATGAATCTGGATTATTGGATTTCACCCACTTTTCGTTAACCGATTCCGATAAAACCTGGCAAATAGATGTAATTCCAATAAATTTGTATTTGGGCTCGAATGATTCGTTTTAACGAGGACTTCAGTTAATAGTTTAGGAGACCGCAACGAACGCAGCGGAAGCAGATAAGCAAGCCTTTAAGGCCGGTTTTTTTAAGCATCCGATGTACTGTAACATCTTCTTTTTCAATTATAGGTGTGATCCAAGTAATATCGTCATTGTCAATGAACTGCCACGACTACGCGCCAATTCCTGTGATGTCACACACATATATCGCTGAGCCTGAGGGATCCATGGCTGTAGCTGTCGGATTTGGGCTTGATCGGTAAACCATTTAACTTGAAAAGCGCTAGAAACATAAAAAAGAATCTTTCCGAAAATATCAGATATAGTGACTGTTAAAGTAAGTAAATAAATATAAATATTAGGCTGTTGTCTATATATTGTTGTGATGTTTCACATACGTTGCACAGATCCCAAAGAAATATCAACGATACAACGACGGTACCACAAACACCCAGACCCGAAACATTTTTTTAATGATTCTAAGTGATAGGACAAACAAGTCGTGCGCCTGATGGTAAACGATACGCCCGTCCATAATAGTTGGAGTAGCACTCAGAGCTTTAAATCGCAAAGATCTGACATGCACTGCCTCTGCGCCCCTGAGACATAAGTTAAGAAGTCCCATGTGCGTGTAATTTCACCAGCACCGTAACCCTTCAAAACCAGAATACAGTAAAGCTCACATTTCTGCTTGGCGACAAAAATAGGTAACATGGCAGATTTACTGGTACTCTAGTGTTACTACTGTTACTTAGGAAAGTTAGTTTTTCTACATCGACCCGGCCAGGGATTGAACCTTGAAGATACCATGAAAACCGGCACACGACCACTGAGGTCGTCAAAAAAGTAGAGAGTGTTTGGAAAAATTCTTCGTCGTCGATTATTTTCCATACACAAGTAATAATAATAATAATTTATTTTTTCTCCACAAACATAACAGTTAGATAAGAATTTAGATAATACACACAGTCAAAGAGTGACACGTTAAAAGAGTATCATCAATCATCATCAAATCAGTGTTGAAATCCTATCTCAAAATACATAAGAAAAGTTTAAATCTAAAACAAATACACTGCAATTATGTAACCCACCATCAACTTATTTAACTATACACCCCAATGCTGGGCACGAGTCTCCTCTCAGGTGAGGGCTTAGGCCATGGTCCGCCACGCTGACTCAATGTGGATTGGGGACTTCACACTTTTTCCGAGGGTTGTGAACCTTCTTCAACGTGCAGGTCTCATCACAATATTTTCCTTCACCGAAAAGCTCATGGAAATTTTAAATTAAATGTCGCACAGAACTCCGAGAAACTCAGAGGTATGAACCCCGGATTCGACACCACGATATCTATTTAAAATCTTAGGTCAAACCATAAGACTACCCAATATCCTCGATTTTTTAAATTTTCATAGTATTTAAATCACCAGTCCAGAAGCAGAAAACATTCGCCAATGACGATGAACTTATTATTTAGTTTATTTTACCATTACGCATGTGTTGAAAGAAAACAAAAAACATAATTATTAAGATTACCTAGCTAAGTGCACACAGTACCTAAACATCTTTTCTTTACTTATTTTTGTAACTTTTGTACATTTTTTTGGAAATCAAAATTTAAGAAGATTACAGTATACTGTTTCTTTGCATGTTTAATGAAAGTACGGTCATGGTCAAATAAAAATAGCTGTAAAAGTACTTTTTGTCACCGTAAATTTAGGGCTGTTCAAGGCCAGACATGTACTAAACAAACACGTGACATAGTAGGCCACATTGTTGCTTTACTTCAGATCAGATTGTACTTAAGAATAGTGATTGAAAAATATATATACGACTCTCAGCACGACACTTCGACATAGCGAACACTATGTCAACTTAATTTTTTAACCTGTTCTGT